GCGCGGCCGCCGCTCCCGCCCGAGCCAGAGCTCGGGCCCGGGGTGTGTGTGTGGGGGGGGAGGCGGGGGAGGAACAGGCTGCGGCGCAGCGGGAGAGTGGGGGGTCGGGCGCCCTACGCAACCTGGGGAAGTTCTAGAAGTAAGGGGGATGGGCAGGAACCCCTCAATTCAACCCTACCCCCACTCGGCCTTTCTCTTGGTTCTCCCCCCCCCACCCCCTTCAGCTAATGAGGCCGAAACGCCGGCCTGGGTTTGGGGTTTCACCCCGACCCCACCTCTGGCCAGGCCTGCGCCTCTTCAGCCCCCGGGGCCGGGCCAGCCCTCCGCCCCCACAAACTGGTTTCTCAGCTTTGCTGGGCGCTGTTGGAACTAGTCTTTTGACTCCCCGTTTCAGTTCTTTTCCTGGGGTTTTATTTTGCGGGGAGGGCGCCGAGGGGGTGGCGGCTTTCTTCCTATCCCCCGCGCCCGCGCGCGCCAGGTTTCCTGCCCCAAGGCGGGCTTGGGTGCCCCCTCTGGCAGGAAGTGGGGCCGGGTGCACCCGCGTGGCGGTGCATGCGGTCGGGGTGCACCGGTTTCCCGCGCCTACAAGAACGGCCTGCGCCCCTCCCCCCGCGCTCTGGTCCCTAGTCTCGCCGGCCAACCTGCAACGGCCCGGCAAAGGCGCTTGCAGAGCCGGCTGTGAGGCAGCGGACGGCGGAGACTTACTAACCTTTCAGCTGGTAAGGAGAGTGGCGCCTGGGTCGCCATCCCAGCCGACCTACTTGCTGTGTGGCCTTGGGTATATCTGAAGGCCTCTCTGGGTTTTGTTTTTTTTTTTTTTTAAACAAGAGTACCCCGTGATGATATTCTAGGGTCTTTCCTGCAGATTCTCACAGCGTTCGCGAAGCTCACCTCGAGTGTACTGTGTTTGGACTGTACGCGCTTCAAGCCAGAAAAGTCTCATTACAAACTGAGGCAAGGGGTTGGGCCCAATGTGTGACTTTGCCAAGCCTCGCTGATGTTTAGAAACAGGTGGAAGCGACAAGCATTTGCTGGTCTCAGACAGGGCCTCAGGCCCGTTCAGTTGGTGGAGGGGGTGGGGGGCCGCGGCACTGAGTGAATTAGAGGGTCCCCAGCAGCCAGAGGTGGAGGCAGCACTTCTAGGGAGACTCTTGGATCATCCCCGGCAGACAAGCCAGCCTGGGTCTCAGGGATTAGGGACTGACTTCCCCAACTGGAAGGCCCTCTGAGGGGGCCTCCACCAGACCTCATGTGAGGTCAGCACTCATTTAGCTGATTAATTTTGATGTTTAGTTTGAAGGGGAACCTGTGGTGTAATATAAGATTCTAATCACTGCCTGTAATTACAGAGCAGGCCAAGCCACTAATGACGGAGCACGATAAATCACCAACCACCTTGTTTAAAAGGGTCTTCAAGACTGAAATGCTGAAAAATAGCATAATTACCAGGCAAAGTCCTGCTGTCTGGAATATCTCTAGGCTCGAGGATGGGGAGCCTTGGGGCCCTCCAGAAATAACAAGTTTTGCTAAAAAAAAATTTTCTTCCCTCTGGGTTAAAATTGGAAATTGCCTGCATATCTGAAGGGACGGAAAGTCATTTTCAAACGTTGGTTGTCGTTTTGATCGGTGAAGATTTTTCATTTAAGCATTTTAAGTTACCGGTTTGGTGCTCACTGTAGTGTAGAGATGGTTGAGGTAGGTGCCTTACCATCACCCCCATTTTAACACATGGGGAGGGACTTTTCAGAAGTGCAGCCATGTGGGCCCACCCTTTGCTAATGGCACCTAGAAATGTGTTGAGCCCACAGGCTTCCCAAGTCAAAAGGACTGGGGATTAATAACTGAGGGAGATAGGTTGGGAGCCCCGTTGTCCTTTTTAGTCCACTAGAAGCGTCTCCTGTACCTCGGGTGTGGGCACCCCTTATGGTGGAGGTTTTTAGGTAACTCTAACTGAGGCTGATTAAACCCAGCAGGCCTCTAAGAAGAGGAAAACTAGAAAGGGACCAAGGAGCCTTTAGGATTTC